TGTGTGTGTGTGTGTGATTAGTTAGCTGCTAGTTTATTGTTGCTTGATTGATAAATAGATCGAGTTATGGAGTTGTAGTAGTATTTGATTGATTGTGCTTTAGTTGCTTGTCTACTAGATGTATCTGAGTTGTTGTAGGAGTTGAAGTTTACCGTGTGTGTATTTTGTAGGACGTATTGTAATGTTACGGTGATTAGATACAACAGCTGAAAAAGGGAGGGATATTGTATTATATTTGAGTAGTGGCTATCTAGAATGTCTCATCTTCCAGTCGCTCCACTCGTTGGATGATACTGGGACTTTGTTCGATTGGCAGGTCGTCTGTTGTGTCATTGGCTCCGGCGGTGAAGAGGAGGTCTTCCACGATGCGTTTCGATGCTTCCTTGGCTTTATAACATACATCGATTAGCGTGTACTGCATGTATGAAAGGGCAAACCAAGCAAGATAGACAGGGCAAGGAACAAGTATACTAACCAGGCGTCTTCATCAACCGACTCTGCGGAATGTGAAACTGCATCGTCTTAGGCGGACTCGGGCCCAAGTCTTCATCCCCGTCATCAAAGTCATCATCACTGTCCCAAGCCGATCGTCTCGCACCACCACCGCCGCCGCGCGCAGGAGTCAGCACGCTTATTCCGGGCTTCGGGGTAATCCGCAGCCGGTTCGCACTAGGTCTCCTCTTGCGGCCCGTATTCGGCGTTTCCACGCCCTTCATAGGAGACGAGAAGATCTCCGCATGTAGTTTCGGGGCTTCCGGCTCCGGACTGGAAATAGGGGAGTCATCGTACGCGTACTTCTTGCTGTTGTTTGTTGTCTTTGGTGTAACGGTAAACTTGGACCGGGACTCGTATCCGTATCCCTTTCCGAGAGGGGTGGCTTGCACGCGGTATGTTTTGTCGGCCATCTGGTGCATGATTGGGTCTTCGGCGGGAGGGATGAATGGTGAGGAGGACATCGGGGTATGAGATTGGTTATGGGAGTAGTCGTCGGTGTAGTGATGGGTTCTGGAGGAGTATTTGGCTGGGGTGGTGGGAAGGTAGGGGTCGTTTTCGTCCTCATCATCGTCGCGGAAGCGGGTATCTGGGGTTGGGTGCGCGATGGACGAGGTGTCGTCGTCATGGGCAGCGTAGCGGTTGTCGTGGCCGGCGACACGAGGGGTGCTGTGGGAGGAGAGACTAAGAGAAGTGAGCTCGATGTCGTCGGCTCGGTGGAGTTGGCTGTCGTCTTCGCCGGCTGTTTCGGTAACGGTTTGGTCTTCTTCGGCCGTCAGGTTGGTCGGTTCTTGGACGGTTTCTCCTTCAGGTTTCTCCTCGTAACCCGAGAGGGAGACATTGGCGCTGGCTTCGAAGAATTGTTTCCAGAACTGGTGGGGAGTTAGAGTGCCTGCAGGGGTCGTTGCTGGGGAACATGGGTAGGTGATGTACCTTTGCGCCATCCCAGACGTCGCGGGAGCTTTCTGCATATTGCTCGACCAGGGGAAGAATGTTGGTTGTGACGATGCGGTGCGCTTGGCTAAAGTTGTGGTCGATCTCTGGTGAGGACTAAAGTCAGAGGTGTATACAGGAGCTATATAAAGTGATGTTGTTACCTTGGAGAGTCAGGGTGATGGACTGCTCGAGCTTCTCGAGCTCCTCTGTAAGCGTGAGGGGGCGCTGCGCCATGGAGGATGGGCGAGACATAATGGCTGTCTAGTGTGTAGCGAATTGAACGTCGTTCTTGACTGTACAGGCGCGCAAAGGCAATGCGAAAGTTGAAGGTGTTGATGTTGATGTTGATGTTTTGATCGGGCGGAGGGGAAACGCGGGATGCCGGATCGGGTTGCAAGGTAGGGCAGCCGGATAAGGGCTGAGGCGGGTCACATGGGGCGGGCGGCGGGGAAAATGAACCCGGGTATCCGCCTGATCAAGCTGGAGGTGACGCCGACACTCACCTTACTACCGCTGCCTGCTGCTGTTCACCCAGATCTGTTTCGGACGCGACTGAGGGTGTTTCGCCATGCCTACGCCGGTTGCCAAAGGTATGCTTGCTTTAAAGGGTCATTTCATTGTTTCCTTAATGCTTAAACAGCCCTGCTTCTGTTGTATTACCCGGGCGGTGTGCTTATCAGGAAAATGATCATGATCTATGAGCTGCTCGAGCCCGGCTCGATCCGCATCGTCTGTGCGATGATTTCATTGTAGTTTCTTTCTTTTCACATGTGAAAGGGCTATTCTACGCAAGTGCTTTCAGCTCGGAAGCGGTGGTACTGACCTTTCAGGCATTATAATCACCGTGTCGGCGCTTGTCGCTGCAGGTATCGCGGTTTACGAATCGCCCCAGTTCCGACAATGGGTCAATACCTCACGACGGAAGATCGCCCTTGCGCTCCACCATCTCGGCGATGAGATCCATCCACAAGACGCAGCCGCTCTTAGGCAGGATATCTCGATGACGGAAGAGGTGGGCGCTGCGGCTGAGGAGCGACGGCGGTTAGCTGTGGAAGAGCTTCAGCGGCGACGCAGCGTGCTCGAAGCCCGTCGCAAGACTAGAGACGGAGCCCCAGCAAGCAGCTTTGACGCTCTGGTGGATGATAGTGGCCGGCTTTTGGATAGTCCAGAGCCTCTGGTGAATGATTCAATGGCCAATTCGACGGCGGTGGAAGTAACGACGTCGCAGCCTGTCCAACGCGGCAAGCAGACTGGAACGTCCACTCCTATGGCTGAAATCGATGGCTCAAACAACATCGGGAGTCGCCTACAGATTGCAATTCCGCCCCCTGGCTCTCAAACCCCGTCGCTTGTTGAGTTCACACCTACGTCGGAAGCACCGGAAAGGCTTGCGACCTCGTTCCATTCCCAGTTTGGTGAGGGCGAACACTTTGTAGGATCGGATAGCTACCATCGTCCCGACACACCTGCATCTAGCCACACCGAAGATTATTCTCAGATTATCTATGCTCATCCGGAGGATCATGCTGTCAATGGCACCGGGCGGGACCTGAGATCTCCATTTTCAGACCTGTCCGACCTGCACTCCGAGGGTCATCACGTTGAGCGCCCATCTACACCGTCTACTGCCGGTAGCTTCAGCCAAATCTATGAGTCTGCGGTGGATGGGTCTGAAGGCACACTAAGCGACTTTGAGCGGTCCGGTGCAGCTACTCCAGCTAGCTGGTCCGAAATTGGCAGTGTTATCAGCAACGACGAGCAGCATCATCATTTGTAGGTATGGAATTGGTTGACTGATATTGAAGGAACGTATGGTCATGGACAGGCGATAGGGTGTTGAGTTTGCTTGGACTGGTTTTGCTTATTCGGGCGCAATGTGGCAATGGCCACCTGTACATATATTGCTTTTGTTAGAAACACGGTAGCTTTGAACCATTGGGATTAAGCTGTAACGGTGATCATCGTCGCCGAGGTTGGGGCACATCGGAGATACTTCCCACTCCTCATAAAATGGCCGAGAGGCAAAGTACTCTTGGTGCTGATCGGCCGTCCCAGAGGGGAAAGAACCTCGGCTGTTCGGCTGGATTGGAGAACCACCGCATTTGCTCCTTTCATTATATCATCCTCCTCTCCCCTCTTCTGCTCCGCTTTTTGCTTATCCTTCTTGATCTTTCAGCAATATCTCTCTTCTCACAGGTACGTATATACTCATCGACTCGTTGAACAGCTGCATCTTGCCTTGTAATACCAATTTGCGCCCGACAGACTCATCTCCGCTTTCATGCTATCAGCTCCCCTCAATCAATACACCTTCCAGAAGCTGACCCCTGAATCTTTCAACAGCTACACAGAACACCATGGCAGCAGATCGTCTAAACTCTATCCTCAGTCACCTGAAGCCATCGGGTAACAGCGGACTCGCCGCAATGTAAGCACCAGACCGTTTCCGGCAAACAAACACCACTAATCAGCACCTCCAGCACCCAAAAGAACCCAGACGATGTGGTCATCACTCTCGCGCTGCGCACGCCCCTCGCAAAGGCCGTCAAGGGTGGATTCAAGGACACAGAACTGGATTATATCCTCTATGCGCTGTTGAAGGAAGTGCTCTCTAAATCTAAGATTGACCCCGCTCTGGTTGAGGATGTGTGTCTGGGAAATGTGAGCGCCGACTTGTCCTCTAATGGAAACCGGATTGCTAACTCTCATACCATTTATCTAGGTCGGCGACGGCAAAGCAGCCTACCTCGTCCGCGCCGCCTCCCTCGCAGCCGGCATCCCTCACACGGCCGGCGGATCCTCCGTGAACCGCTTCTGCTCGTCTGGTCTGAAGGCCGTACAGGACATCGCGAACCAGATCCAGCTCGGTGCCATTGATGTTGGTATCGCTGTTGGCGCGGAGCTGATGTCCGCTGGTGGCGACCGGTTGCCACGCCCATTCAACGAGGAGGTCCTTCGCAACCAGGAAGCGGCGGATTGCATGCAGCCTATGGGACAGACTTCGGAGAATGTTGGTGCAGACTTCAACATCACGCGCGAGCAGCAGGACAAGTACGCTGCGGAATCGTTCCGTCGGGCGGAGGAAGCTCAGAAGGCGGGCTGGTTCGATGATGAGATCGTCCCCATTACTACAAAGGTCAAGGACCCGAAGACTGGGGAGGTGAAGCAGGTGACGTTGACCAAGGATGAGGGTATTCGCTATGGTACGACGCCAGAGTCTCTGGGCAAGATCCGTCCTGCTTTCCCGCAGTTCGGTAACCGGAGCACGGGAGGTAACTCGAGTCAAGTTACGGATGGTGGTAAGTAATTTTTGTGATGGAAGAGTTATGAGGGTTATACTGATGATGTGTGTGCAGCCGCCGCTGTTCTTCTCATGCGCCGCTCCAAGGCTATTGAGCTGAACCAGCCCATCCTGGCCAAGTTCTGCGGTGCCACCGTCGCGGGAGTGCCGCCCCGGATCATGGGTATTGGTCCCACCGCAGCTATCCCCAAGCTGCTGTCCCAGTTCAACTTGAACAAGGATGACATCGACATCTACGAGATCAATGAGGCTTTTGCTTCTATGGCTGTCTACTGTCTCAACAACCTGGGTCTGGAGCACGCCAAGGTGAACCCGCGCGGTGGTGCCATCGCCCTCGGCCATCCGCTCGGTGCAACGGGCGCACGCCAGATTTGCACCATCCTCAGTGAGGCGCGACGGACGAAGAAGAAGGTACTGGTGACAAGTATGTGCATTGGCACGGGCCAGGGTATGGCTGGTCTGTTCGTGAACGAGCAGCTGTAGATGTCCTCAGTATGGTATCATATCATGTCATTTCATGTCATAAAATGCTGGTGTCGGAAAGGAGTATATACCAAGATGCTACGCAAATTCAAAAACTATACAAGAACCACTTGAACCACCCATTAATCAAGACCTCCCCTCTCCTTCTCGCTCTCTCGCCCTCTTCATCCTCTCCTCCGCCGCCTTAGCCAAAACCTCCCTCCGACTTTCTCCCCTTCCACCACCACCCCCACCACCCCCACCAAGCACAAACTGCCCTCCAGTCCACCCCTTCTCATCAACCACCAACCCATGCTCCCTAACCCCCTCCCAATCCCCAGGATTATAAAAGTCCTGCTCTCCAACGGTCCTCCCACTCTTCGTCCAATCCCCCCTCTCAACCTCCTTCTCAATCTGGCTCGTCAAATCCCAAAAATCGCGATCATGCTCACTAAAAACACAATGCGCCAACTCATGACACAGCGTCTTCCGTATCGTGCGATAATCCCTATACCCATCATACGCATCCGTCCTCAACCTCAACTCAATAACCTCGCCCTTATTCCGATTCAACCCTAACGTCCTCGACTCACTCGTTGTATGCTCAGCCGGATCCATCTCCGTCAACAGCGGCACAGAGAACTTATGCTTCTGCATCGCGGACTTAATCCCGGGATCGTCGCGAAGGCGCTCAAGAAATGTCAATGATTTAGACGGGTTAGGCAGGTGCGGGAGCGGAACACATCGGTGGAAAGTGTAGGAGCCGCTGCCGTTGGCGCTGTTTGAGAGAGTGTGAATTTTGCTAACGTTGGAGGAGGTGCTGGAGGGAGTGGGTTTTGCGGCGTAGAGACGATGCGCGCGATCGCGGGCTTCAGCGCGGGCTTTGAGTTCGGTGCCGTGCGTGTTGAGCGATTCGATGTCTCGTGGGGGTGTGCCCAGCAGGGTGAGCTTGAATTTGGGGGAGGTGAGGGGGAGGAGGTCCTGGAGGGGGGTGGATGGGAATGGGTGTTTAAGCATTCCTGGGGAGGGGGAGATGAGGAGCTTTTGGTGGGTTGGAGGGATTTGCAATGTTGAGGAGATGAGCTCTGTTAGATCTGTGAGGGTGCTGGTTGTTGGGAGAGTGATGGGGTGGGAGGCGTTGCGGTGGTGGATTTGCAGGGTTAGGGTGTCCCCTGTTGGGGTTTCGGAGTCAGTCATGGTTGCTGGTGAATGTGTGAGGGTGGCGTGTGAAATGAGGGGGTGTTTGTGGGGGAGAAAGTTGAGTTATATACAGAGAAGAAGAAGTGGTGATGATCTTCGATGGAGTTCGATCTTGTTTTGTCAGCGATAAGGCGATAAGCGTGGTTTGTTGTATCACGTGGTGATAGGGCGATAAGGTCTAGTCGATTAAGGTTAGTATGGTTTCACTATTTTTTATTGGTATGTAATGGCAGGGCCCCTGGTACTGGTGCCTCAGGTAGCCAGCAGATCGTCGCTGCTTAATTTCGGCTGGTCCGCGTTTGTTTGGCGTTGAGAGATGCTGTTTGGGATTGATCACCCCGCGGGTCCTACTTTGTTACAAATGTACTACGCCTGATTTAGCTCATGCAGAATGTTGCAGAAAGATTGTATGACCACTAGATTGACTCTGCAGAACGCTGACTGTCCACAACGCCGCCTGTACCCTGAACTCCGATCCTTATATGATTATATACCAAGAATGACCATGACACCATCCGATGATGCACTTATGACAGTCGATAGAAAGAATACTACGCAGCCAGAATGGCTGGCTCACTCATACTGCCGGTCATCCATTGCGGCCGGCACGTCCAGCACCCACTCTTCGAGTTCCGGATCCCACGTATGACTATCACATGTCAGCAAGAGGCACCTCTCGGCTAAAGCGATTCACTCACTTGTGAAATTGCGTTTGAGTCAACGCCTTCTTTGTATACTCCTCTGTTAGCACCCCGTCGTACCTAAAGGGCACCTTGGCTGGCACGCCCTCAAACGTCGATCTCCGCAGTGGGTATATATCGTGTGTCTGATATTTGTGCCCATTCTTGCACTCCCATTCTGTGGGCTTCTCGGCCGTCAGTCGGCTCAGCCCTGTGATATCGATGTATAGTCCCGTGGTGATGTCGATCCAGCGCGCATCAATTATATTCAGTCCCATGCCACGATCACGTTGACGCGCCCACGGATTTATGTCCAGGAGGTAACGGCGCTCGACGTCAGGGTCGGAAGTGGTATACTGTACAACAGTCTGGTTGAAGTGGTCGGCGAGATGGAACAATGTGGTGTCCATTACTTGAGTGTCGATGTCCCAGTCCCAGGGCATGATCTAAAAAAAAAGGGTTAGACCGGCCAAAACTAACCATGTCTGGTGCATCAGGAATAGCCCACCTTGCCATTCCACCACCATCCCAGCAATGTTCCATGCGCAATCCATGTTTCCAGTCCATTATCCTCGAAGAAGTTCAGATATGCTCGGATCATATGTGTCAATGTGACAGATCGCTCCGCGTCCGGAACCGGCTCCCCCTGGAAAAACCGCGAATCATAGTGGCCCAGGGTATCGTCACGACCAGGCTCATGGAAATATTTGAACTCGTCTGACTTGTTCAGCCCGTACTTCTGCCACAGCGGGTCTGGGTCATTGCGGTGGACGAAACTGCCGTGATAGCTCTGCTCTGCGGGGCTGGGGCGTGCTGTGGCCACCGCTGACCAGATCGCGCAGGTGAGGACGGCCAGCAGGCCCCGAGGGTTCATGTCCGGCGGCAGATGTCAAGGTTGTATGTTTTGAAAAGGGTTGTTGAATAGTTTGGGAGGTCAATCACGCCCCTGCTTGCATTCTGGACCGGATAGGCGGTGGTTGGGTGAATATGAACAGTGATCCGGTCGATGCGGGGGATCAGAACAGGGCAGCCAAGTCGTTGCTCGAATGCGTTATAGCCGCATACGTCGAACCATTCAAATCGCGTGGTGCATCGGACGAGAGAAAAGAAAGGCCACCGGTGCTAACAATGAGAGCAGCCAAGTAAGTGCCAGCCCGACTCGACACGCCAATCAGGCATGGACAAGACAGGGGGGGAAGATAGACTGAGGGGGGAAGATACAAGGGAAAGGGAAAGGAAGATCAGGAGAGAAAAGCACGGGGAACGGTTCTTGATAGTCCGACTAGACAGGCTTCGAGAACCACACGAGCCCGCAAATCAAACCGGAAGATCCGACGAATCCGTTCAGTTCGACACGACGGGAAAAAGCTTTGCACCTCTGGGGGAGAGAGGGAAATTTGGTTAAGGCCGAGGAAGAATAGAATCAAATACGACTCCGTACTAACGGGGTGACTTCAACCAGCCAAGCGGGGCGACATTTGGGAGATCCACTGAGGACCCTCATTAGATAGATTATTACATTGGCGCGTTGGGAATAGGCCTTGGACCCTTTCCGTGGATGACGCTCTGCAGGTCCGGATCGGCAAGGATAACAGCCATGACGACAGGGAGCTGGTTGGCTGCTCTAAGAACGCCTGGCATGCCAATGCTCCATTCCCATGAGGACAAAGAGAGAGCTACTTGCGATATTTGGTAGGAAAAAGTGTCAGGATGGATGGTCTCCTCTCTTCGAAATCACGAGAGTATTAGTTCCTAGGCAACCATCAAAGAATCCACCGAAAGGAGACGGCGCTCCATAAGTGATTGATTGATTTTGGCCGAATTCAGGGCAGAAAGAGAAAAAAAGAGTCGGGTCTCGCGTGCCATCTTTCCCGACGTGTCTTTGGCTCTGTTTTTTTCCTCCCTCCCTCCCCACTTATCTTCTTCCCAGGGATGTTACGGCTTACATACGGGAACGCCTTCCGTACCACCCGCTTACCGTATCACCAACCAGCATCAGCAGAGCAGCCGACTGATTCATAGGGCTATACGCACCTCCCGGTCTCCCTGGTCGTAATGTCCATTGTGTCTAGTCAGCACAGCACAGATGCAGGATGGCTTTGGCTAATTATCCGTGCCACGGTGACAGCATCTTGAAAATCTCCCCATTGTGTTTTAGTGTCCGTGTCCCTATCTTTCCCTGCAAGCAGGGCAACTCGGAGGCCGGACGGCTGGTTCTCAGACGATGACCTGCAGTGTTGAAACCCCCCTAAAGCACAAGGGGGGCACTGTGTTGGCACGAATCATACATGGAATTCATGAGGCCAAGACAGAAGGATGCTGAGGCCAAGAGACATATTAATAATGTCCAGCGAGATCGATACATCATGCACCTCGTAGGGCAGACAAATGCCCTAGAAGTACGCCCTGCATTATCGACCAAACAACTACTGGACACAACCATCGAGGCTAACCATCCTTGCACTGACTCGAGTCAGGTCCTTCTATATACATGCTTACGAGCATACCTCCCTCCAACCTCTAACATCTATCCGCCCCCAGATTAAACTCATTATAAAAGGTGGAATGAGTACTAGACTCCGCTACCGGGTATATGTCAGAATCTTATCACGCACCTGAAACAGTCGGGTTGCTTCCAGAGAGTTAACAAAAGTTGATGGTCAGTGGTAAGTAGTACATACCACCATCGTACAGCATCCATACACCCACCCCTAACTCCCAATACCGTAACGAACTGCCCCTTATTCGGAAGAACCAAAGTTGCTTTCCACCATCAGGTTAGGTTAACCCCCTGGACTTTCTGACTAGTCGTCCCCACAGAAATGCTACTTTAGTCTTGATGGCCGAACCCAAGCACTACCAATTCGCTCATTCTCTCCGACGCATCTGAGCGGAAGGGAACAGGACCCTGCCAATCTCGGAGCTATCAATTTCCTCCGTGCAGGTATTGGTTGTTGCCTATCTACAAGGGGAGAAAGAGGAGCGGAGTGTTCACCACTTCTAATTTGACCGACCTATCAGGTAGTCAACTAATTTGGATGCTGAGACTTGTTCAAAAGAAATATGCCAAGGAGCATCGAATAGTTGGACAGGTCTGTCTGCCAAGGGGTGGGAGTAATTGGTGGCATCCGGTGATTCCGCTCGTACTCGTTTTGTCTGGATTGTTTTGGGGGGGGATCAGACCTTCATGCCGGTCACTTGACTAGTCTGTTTTCGGACCTGCCAAGCCTACTGTCGGGTCACATGATACTGCTCAGGGTCTTGGGTTTCTTGGTTCGGTAATTTCATAAAATGTCCCGCTTACCAATGACTTATGTTCATTCATTGCTGCATAGCCGAACTATATGCAAACCAGGCATATACAGTCACAACTTCCAGTTCATGCTTCCCTCATCAGCGACTGTAACCTGGCCATCTGCCAATATTCACCCTCGAGCTGCATCAACTTCTGGTGGCTACCTCTTTCTACAATCTGCCCCTGCTTGAATACTAGGATCTCATCAGCATCGACAATCGTCTTTAGTCGATGGGCAATAGCGATGACCGTTAGCCCTTTCATCACACGCTGAATTGTCCTCTGGACTAAATCCTCTGAGGCGGAGTCCAGGGCAGAGGTTGCCTCATCAAGTAGACTTAGAAGTGTCAAAATTCACTGATCAAGGGCTTTCTATAATAAGGGGCACTTACAGAATCTTTGGTCGACATAGAAGCGCCTTCGCGATGGCCATGCGCTGGCGCTGCCCCCCAGACAGGGTCGATCCGTTCGTCATGATGGGAGTACTTAGACCTTGAGGAAGTGACAACTGACACAAAAAGCAAATTAATCAGAATTTGTAACAAGGGGATAGGAAGAGTTGTAAGCGCCTACCACAAATCGGCTAACCCAACGTCCTTTAGAGCGGCCAAAATCTCGGCGTCTGATACAACCAGCTCACCACTCTGCAGGCAGTCGCGCAGGTCTTCACCAATAAGACAAGGGTTTTGGTCGACCAGCGCTAGATAACCTCGGTAACTGTCGAGGTCATATAGTTCAATTGACATATCATCTAGTGCTATTGCGCCAGATTCGCTGGTATAGAAGCGCTCCAGCAAATTTATCACTGAACTCTTACCACTGCCTGTAGCACCAACAAGAGCAATGAAGGCACCTGCTGGCACGTCGAGACTGACATCGTTCAAGGCTAGTCGAGATTGATGGCTTGGATATTTGAAGTTGATGCGTCGCAGCGAAACGTTTGCGGTGATACTTGGCACGTCAGCGTTGCCATTATTCAATTTTCTGTAGGCGGCTGACGACATCCCGGCTTGCATCAGCTTCTCCAGTCGAGCAGCAGCAGCTTCAGAGCCTACAATGTCAGGAGCATGTGCGAAAAGCACGGACGCAGACTGCGATCCCCACATTGTGGC